TGAGGACAAAATCAGACCAGAATTATGAACCTGACTTTATCCAGTCATCAGATTAATGTGCTGGAAATGAATGCAGATTAGTGCATATTTAAACATAACAGCATGCATGTTATTAGCATATTGGCTATTTATTAGTACTTATAAAGCACATATATTCTACGTCACTAATCCTACCCAAGACCTGAACTTAACAACTACCTTACTAAGCTGTAATTACGAGTTGAGGCAAAAGTCGTAGTTAATAGTTAATTAATAGCAAGAATTGGACCTTAAAATAAAGTATGACCGAATTATTTAATTATTAACACCACAAACACAGGAACATGTAAACGCGTTATGTTATTGAAATAATAACTTAAAATCTCAAGGTAGTTCAGCTGACAGAAAAGTTCTACAGCGCTGAATCAGAATGGAGTTAATTCTTGTTCCTGCTCTAGTTGTGATGGAGTGCTGTCTGTTTAAAGTCACTCCGTTCTGTGTTTGTAAGTTTAGAGCCATTAGACATCCATCATAGTGAATTAATGTTGGCCCATCAGCGCACGAACCTGACCGCAGAGTGTGTGTGTGTGTGTGCGTGAGTGAGTGTGTGAAGTTCTGTGGTGTGTGTGTGTGTGTGTGTTAGTGTGTGTGTGAGAGTGAGTGTGAAGTTCTGTGGTGTGTGTGTGTGTGTGTGTTAGTGTGTGTGTGAGAGTGAGTGTGAAGTTCTGTGGTGTGTGTGTGTGTGTGTGTTAGTGTGTGTGTGAGAGTGGTGTTTGTTTGTGTGTGTGTGTGTGTTTGTGTGTGTGGGCGTGTGTGTTGGTGTGTGTGTGTGTGTGTGTGTGAGTGTGTGTGTGAGTGTGTGTGTGAGGTTCTGTGGTGTGTGTGTGTGTGTGTGTGAGTGTGTGCGTGAGAGTGTGTGTGAAGTTCTGTGGTGTGAGTGTGTGTGTGTGTGTGTGTGAAGTTCTGTGGTGTGTGTGTGTGTTAGTGTGTGTGTGTGAGAGTGAGTGTGAAGTTCTGTGGTGTGTGTGTGTGTGTGTGTGTGTGTGAAGTTCTGGGGTGTGTGTGTGTGTGTGTGTGTGTGTGTGGTGCTCTGTGGTGTGTGTGTGTGTGTGTGTGTGTGTGAAGTTCTGGGGTGTGTGTGTGTGTGTGTGTGTGTGTGTGGTGCTCTGTGGTGTGTGTGTGTGTGTGTGTGTGTGTGAAGTTCTGGGGTGTGTGTGTGTGTGTGTGTGTGTGTGTGGTGCTCTGTGGTGTGTGTGTGTGTGTGTGTGTGTGTGAAGTTCTGGGGTGTGTGTGTGTGTGTGTGTGTGTGTGTGGTGCTCTGTGGTGTGTGTGTGTGTGTGTGTGTGTGTGAAGTTCTGGGGTGTGTGTGTGTGTGTGTGTGTGTGTGTGGTGCTCTGTGGTGTGTGTGTGTGTGTGTGTGTGTGTGAAGTTCTGGGGTGTGTGTGTGTGTGTGTGTGTGTGTGTGGTGCTCTGTGGTGTGTGTGTGTGTGTGTGTGTGTGTGAAGTTCTGGGGTGTGTGTGTGTGTGTGTGTGTGTGTGTGGTGCTCTGTGGTGTGTGTGTGTGTGTGTGTGTGTGTGAAGTTCTGGGGTGTGTGTGTGTGTGTGTGTGTGTGTGTGGTGCTCTGTGGTGTGTGTGTGTGTGTGTGTGTGTGTGAAGTTCTGGGGTGTGTGTGTGTGTGTGTGTGTGTGTGTGGTGCTCTGTGGTGTGTGTGTGTGTGTGTGTGTGTGTGAAGTTCTGGGGTGTGTGTGTGTGTGTGTGTGTGTGTGTGGTGCTCTGTGGTGTGTGTGTGTGTGTGTGTGTGTGTGAAGTTCTGGGGTGTGTGTGTGTGTGTGTGTGTGTGTGTGGTGCTCTGTGGTGTGTGTGTGTGTGTGTGTGTGTGTGAAGTTCTGGGGTGTGTGTGTGTGTGTGTGTGTGTGTGTGGTGCTCTGTGGTGTGTGTGTGTGTGTGTGTGTGTGTGAAGTTCTGGGGTGTGTGTGTGTGTGTGTGTGTGTGTGTGGTGCTCTGTGGTGTGTGTGTGTGTGTGTGTGTGTGTGAAGTTCTGTGGTGTGTGTGTGTGTTAGTGTGTGTGTGAGAGTGAGTGTTAAGTTCTGTGGTGTGAAAGTGTGTGTGTGTTAGTGTGTGTGTGAGAGTGAGTGTGAAGTTCTGTGGTGTGTGTGTGTGTGTGTGTGTGAAGTTCTGGGGTGTGTGTGTGTGTGTGTGTGTGAAGTTCTGGGGTGTGTGTGTGTGTGTGTGTGTGAAGTTCTGGGGTGTGTGTGTGTGTGTGTGTGTGAAGTTCTGGGGTGTGTGTGTGTGTGTGTGTGTGAAGTTCTGGGGTGTGTGTGTGTGTGTGTGTGTGAAGTTCTGGGGTGTGTGTGTGTGTGTGTGTGTGAAGTTCTGGGGTGTGTGTGTGTGTGTGTGTGTGAAGTTCTGGGGTGTGTGTGTGTGTGTGTGTGTGAGTGAGTGTGAGGTTCTGTGGTGAGTGTTATGTCCTGTGTGTGTGTGAGAGTGTGTGTGTGAGTGTGTGAGTATGTGGTTCTGTGG